AAGAATTTGCACTTTTAACAAGTTCCCAGATAATGTTGCTGCTGGTGGAAGCCACTAGCCTGAAGCCCGCACTTTGAATAGCAAGTGTATGTAGCCCAAGGTTTTAAACACTGAATATCTACACATCAAGAGATCTCTGTACCTTAAAATACTTAGTATTTATAACACGTTTTCCAAAACAATAAACAGTTGGTCATACTTAAATTTTATCATCTTCTGATGAATTGTTCCTTCATGTTTATTAATTATCACATAAAATCACCAAGTCCCTTAACTGTCACATCAACTATGCTTGATTATCAATTAATCTGTCTTCTATGCATAAGTTAAAAACTAAGTACAACAATGTTTTTCCAAAGAATTTGTACCTAGTGAAGGGATTAGCACCATAGTCTCTGAAAGGGCACAAAGAAGAAAGCTTTCCTTTCCCATACCACAGATTTCTATGTGTATTTTTATGTATTTCTATGTATTCCCCCACCCCCCCGAGGAAAGAATCAGGACTCTTAAGGAGTTCTCTAACCACAAAAGAGTTAAGAACCACTGTATTCTTCACATTTTTGCTCCTGGAACAAATCTCCTTTGTTTCTAAGTTAAGTGAAAGTTTCTAAGTTAAGTGAAAAGTCTTTCATTTTAAGCCAACAACCTATACAACCACAAGCAAATATACTCTAAGTAACCTCAAAAACTTTCTGAGGATCCTAGTACAAGAGACAGAGCATCCCTTACTCTAGAACTGCCAATCTCTGGTCTCCAGTCCAGCATCTCTCCCAAAGACCTACATGGCTTCCACCTATACTGTAGAAGACAGTTTTTCAAAATACGTAAATCCTAACTGACATTGCCTACATGCCTTTCAAGCTACTTATTACTGCATGTGAATCTTTAAAAGGAAAAACAGTAAAATAACCAACAAATCGGTCATCTATTTATTCATTTAATCATTATTAAGCACTCAAGTACCAGGTACCAAAGATACACCAAATCTGCCTGTGGCGTATCTTGGAGGAGAGGAGTTTTAAACGATGGGTAACGGCTAGCTGGGCATATGGACTAAGTGCATTCCAAGGAGAACACACAGCTGAGCCAAGTATGTACATGTGTGTGAAGTAGGTGGTGAGGGAGGAAGAGGTGGGCATAGCTAAGTAGCTTTAATTTCTCCTGAGAGCACTAGGATATCTCTAGGAAATTCTGGGGTGGTTGAAGAGTGAGTGATAAAGGCAGGAGCTACTTCAAATGATCACGCATTGATAAAGGTTAGAAGTGGGCTGCAGTGACTGGTGAGAAGTAATGAGGGTCTGAGAGAACAGTAACAGGGGGTGTAAGTGAAGGGACAGATTTGAGGGATATTAAAGAGAGAAGCCAGACAGGACTTGATCCCCATTTTGTTAAGGAGGATAAACAGAGTCAAGTGTGGAGCTTATTTCCTGGTGGGATAACTCAGTGTCAGCACCCCATTCATTCATTTTTCGATATGCGGAGGAGCCCCAGGTGGCTTTAGGACATTCAAGTGCATATCGAGTAGGATTCTGAAACTCAGAAGGAAGGTCTATGCCAGACATAAAGATCTGGGAGACATCAGCACATGCAGCTTAAGTCCCACAGAAGATGAGCTCACATAGAAAAGAAAAAGATCCAAATACACATACATGTAGAAATTTCTTGGCTTATGAGTTTTTCTTGATAGAATTTAAGTTCTGAATTTGTCTTTTTTACCACTCTGCCCCAGTGGCTAGCAAAGTGCCTGACAACTAATTATTTTAAGTAATTCAATAATTATCTATTATTTGGGTAGACATGTTTATTTTCTTAGGGTATTTTTTACTTGGGTTAAAGTTATCTCATAGATCCATAACCACAGTTAATGTGGATTTTAATTCATCTAGCATGAAGTGACCATTCAAAGCTATGACTCGTTTCTGTTTTAATTTCTGCCTTGTTTTAAAATTTCTTCTTTTTATCAAGTGTCCTTGGCCTGCTGAAGAGAAGTGGTGTTAACAGGTGAGATATGAGCATACTTAAAATGGGGATTTTATAAGAGTTTTTTTGTTTTTTTTTTTTTTTGCAACTCTTTGCCAGGAACCTGGGACACAGTCTGCCCTGCCATCTCTGCCTCTCCCATCCTTCTAACTGGCCCTTTCTCTTCCGTGCAGCTGTGGAGCTAACATCTTCAAGGGCTACTGTAGTCAGTCATCCTGCTGGTCCTGTTGGCCCTTATTTCTACATCGATGGGGAAGCCAGGCAAGGTTAGCTCCAGAATTTCTCAATGGGAGAAAGGCTCACAAAATCATAGTATTTGTATAAAGTTATTTTAATGAGATATTCTTTTTATTTGCCTAAATCAAGATAAAAAATATTATGGTGTACTATAATGTCACTTAACATTTCTCACTTTCCTCCTCTCCCATTTGGCCATCTGACTTTTCTATTCCCTACTCTCTCAAATCGCAGTATCATTAAATATGACCCACATTATACATAAGATAACTGGGTAAAATCAAAGACCCAACCAATGACTGAGGAACACTGCTTTGCAGTACTGTTTATCATTACAAATAAGAGGATACTTTGCAAATAGGATAGTTTTTGCTCACAAGCCCCAACATAAATACAAACAAAATAATACCCAGAAATTGAGGAACAAGAAAGTGCATTAAGATGAGTACTACAGGTCTGTCAGTTCTCCACAGACACTGGGTTGAGTACCTTACTTCTTCATCATTTACTCTATTCTGTATTCCTGCTGATGATAAAGGTCACATTTATGATTCACCACTGTTTTTTAATTCCACTTCAGCTACGTACATTTTCTCTCAGTAAAGGGGCCTGATGACAGCCAAGGAGTTTTTCAGGCTAGAATGACTTGTGCAATTAAACTGTCATTTACCCCTTTAGATTTTAAACTGCTATTGCAAACATAAACACTGCCCTTGCTTATAACCTGTTTATACTTCTGGAATCTTTTGTTTTCCTCCCGAAAAGTGACATTTAAATTGAGATTTCATTATGCCCCAGAGAAAATTTTCTTTCAGAAAAACAGATAAAAAATCTGTGTAAGAAAGGCAGAAATTGGGAGAATCTGGGCTTTATTCTCCTTTTCTAGAGTTGATGGTTTTTGCTAGAGAAATCCAAATGTGAAAAAAATGCACAAATATTAGAAGGAACAAAACAAAACAGACTGGGACCATGTCTTGGTACCATGCTTGGTATAGCAGGAAACATGGAAGTGTAACAGAAAGTCCTTGTCCTAGAGTAGCCACATCCACTGGCTTTTCCTCCAAAATACATCCACAATCCAATCACTCTTCCCAGGCTTCAGTCTCACACCTCTTTACTCTGGTTGAAGACTCTATAATCTTTTGGGAGACCTGCAGTGACTGCTGTTGTATAAACCTCCCTGCCTCAAAGCCTTATTTATACTGGCTTTTCCCTCTGTCTAGAATGCTCTTCCCATATATCCACAGAGCTCAGTTCCTTCAGGTTTGCGTTCAAATGTCATCTTATCAAAGACATCAGCCCTGACACTCTATGTAAAATAACCCCATCTGTCCTACCTACAGCCCTTCTTTGTTCCCTTTATAGCATTCATCACTATCTAACACGGCACATGTTTATTATCAGTTTCATAATAACACTAGAATGTTAAATTCCACTAGAATGTTAAACTTCACAAGAGCATAGATTTTTTTACTCTATTTTGTTCACAGTTGTATCCTTTCTGGAATGGATGGTGCCTGGCACACAGGATGTATTCGATAAATATTTGTTTGATGATATTGAACTGGCAAATGTTCAGGTTAAATAAGAATACAGGGCAACAGTAAATTAACATTTCAAGACCATTCATAGTTAATTGTTAATTGAATAGCATAGGCCGGTAATAACCAAAGGTAATATATATCACCATCACTTGGAAAGGTTTTCCAAAGTACACACACATGGACCTCACCACCACTGATCCACCACACTTTCTTCTACTGATAGGCTAGGTGACAAAGAAACTTGGTAAGAGTTCCACAGATATGATCATATTGGAACAGAGATTTTCAAAGTTGATCATGCTTCAGAATCACCTAGAGGGCTTACTGAACAGATTGCTGGGCCCACTCCCAGAGTTTCTGATTCAGTAATTCTGGAAGGGGGCCTGATAATGTGCATTTCTAACAAGATCTCAGGTGATGCAGAGGCTGCAGGGTTTTTGGTCAAAGGGTACAGGATGTCAGTTAAACAGATGAGTAAGTCCTAGAGATCCACTGCACAGAACAGCCTATAGTTAACATTACTGTGTTGTATGCTTAAAATTGGCTAAGAGGGTAAATTTTAAGTCTTCATATCACAAAAAGATAATAGTAAAAGCTGAGTGAAAACTTTTGGGGGTAACGGACAGGTTTGCGGCACAGATGTGGTGATGTTTTCATGGGTCTATACTTATCCCTAAACTCATCAAGTTGTATACATTAAATATGTACCGTTTTTTTGTATCTCAACCATACCTCAGTAAAGGGACATAAAAAAGCCAATGAACTGAAGTACGCATATACCCAAGCAAAACCTGGGAGCAGATTAAGTCCTTCAATATACTTTTTAATATTTTTTTCCCAAAATCTACTTAGGCTTGGTTTATTTTTTCTTAAAGATTTTCTTATTTCAGAGAGAGAGAGTGAGTGTGTGTCTGTGATATACTTTTTTTAAAAATCAAAAACCTAAAATAGTTCAATTTTTAAAAAACTATAACAACATGTTTATGATTTTTAGAACATTAAGATTAGATAAAAGTCAACTATTACATAAGAAATAAGAAAAAAATACAAGAAAAATTTCATGCCACTGGTATCCCAATGACAAATTTAATCCTGAAAATAAACTCAAAGTTAATGATTCTTGGAATACTCATAGTTTTGAACGTGAAAATCTAGATATTAAAAAAAAATCTGGTAGTTTTAAGAGAACAAATGTAACCCGTAACTTCTGATGGGTAAAGGACATACAAGACTACTCACAGGTATGGAGGCATTCCGTCACTGTAGTTGGCTTGATCAGGTACCCTTTACAGATGTAGCAGGTGATGTAAGGATTGAAATCTTTCACCAAGTGTTTCCTTTGGGTAGCCATTCGTGGTTAGCTAGGCTTTAGTAGTTCAGGCAAAGAGGGGTAGTAAGTGGATGAAGTTTGATCCCAGGAGCTGGTGTGGAGTTCCCAACTGGATGTCCTGAGGCATGAGAACTAACATCCAGATTTATCACGAGATCGCTGGTCATCACTCCTTTTGGTGATTCGGCTTTCCCATATCTGTTTCCACAGTAATTTTAAAAAGATAAGAGAAAAAAGTGTCAAATTCCTCATACTATATTAATAACATTAGCGGCAAGTGTTACATGCTCCCAGTTGGGTGAATGGGTGAACAGAACATGTCTCTTACTATCACATTAATTTGTAAACCTGCTATGATTTAATTCAGGATGACAGATACATCAAATCCTGGAGCCTTCACTATCACCTCTAAAAAAATGACACCCAAGGCAGTTAACTCCAGTTTTGGTATCTTTACCTCTTCAGTAATGCATTTTAGCTATCTGCTCGACTGCTTTATTAGGAGTTCTTACCAATAAAAGTTATAAGATTCAAAACTGAAGTCACTGTCCTCCCTACCAATATGCTTCCTATTTCCATTTTGTACATCTAGCCAGGGAAATCAAGTTGATGTCTTTTTCCATTCCATCCATAGCCACCCTACTTAAGCTTACTTCTCCACCTGCAGTCCATCTTACATTCTACCAGCTTTATTTTATTCTATCACATTTGGGTCTTCTTCTCAGAGACTGCCAATGTCTCCTTTTTACAAACAGAAAGACATTTATATTCCTTAGCTTTCCATACAAGACCTTCCACAGGCTGACGTTAGCATACCCTTCCACACTTTTCTTTAGGCAAACTGAAAGGATCACTCTCTCACAGTCCATTCTGCATGGGCAATATACCCTGTGCCCAACAAGCCCTCCCTTATTTTGTCTAAATCCTACCTACATCCTTTGAAACCCTTCTCCAAAGTTACCCTCAGTGTACTCTCAAGTTTAATCCTTCTCTTTTGTAACATTTTTCCTTTTGATTCATAGTTACATTCATTCTTTAGGTCCTCTATTATACTACACAATCTTTGATAGAAACTAATCACATTTAGTAAATGTATAACCTGGGCAACGTTACTTATACTCTCTAAGTCTGTTTGTTTGAACTGTAAAATAAAAATAAGAGTGCCAGCTCCCTAAGAATAGTGAGGATTAAATGAGACCATATACATAAAGCTAGCACACAGTAAAAGCTAAAAGTCATTATTTTTTCCCCAGAAATATTTAGCCTTCTTGGCTGGTAGATGGGGTTGTTAAAGGAAAAATAAAGTTTAAAAGGTTTCTCACAAACAAATGTGTTCTCTGAGAAAACAAGGTATTGCTTTCCCAAGTTAATCCTATAAACAGGAACTTTTCTCCTATCTTAGCTGTTAACTCACAGTTATAAAGCAAGCGGGGAGGCAAAAGTCATCATTCCACGGACACATCGCCATTAAGAATGTGCAGGGAATAGGTTCTGCGTGGTACCATCCCACCCGCTCAGGAAAGTTATGGCCAGGGTGTAACATAAAGGGAGCATAAATAACAGCCAAGGGGGTCTGGGTTCTGGTCCTTAGCCCTGTATGACCCTCAGTAAGGCATTTAATACCCGTGCTCGGGTCTCAGCTTCTCCACTATACATAGGGACTAACGGCCCTGCCTTTTCCACAGGTTTGCCAGGAAGCTCCAGAGCGGAGAGTCTTCTGAAAGAGGAAATGCATGGTCCCGACCTCGGGAGGTATGAAGAGAGTAAGCCACAGAGCCCTGTCACCAAGACGGTTAAAGAAGCAAGTACTTGCAGTGACGGGGCGACACGGAACTTTTCCGCGTCCTCCGGCGGGACCCGGCGCCACGGCCCTGTGCGGTCCGAGCACTAGTCCGACCCGCCCGCCCGGCAGGTGCGCGGGCCCGGGCCGGGAGGACGTGCCGCTCCGGCCCGGCCGGGGCTACGCGGGGGAGGACGCGCCGCCTCCCCCGGGGCCGAGGGCCGGCAGCCCGCCGCCCTCTCCGCGCCCGAGGGCAGGACGCGGCTCCGAAGCCCCCGGAGCCCCGCTAGCCACCCCTATCCCCGGCCCCGAGGGGCTCTCCCGACTTCAGGCAAGGCCGGCCGCGGCAGGTGCCTGGAGATGCCGCTCCCGCCCCGGGCGCAAACTTGCGCTGGGAGCGCGGGGGCGGCCTGGGCCCCTCGGCCGCCTCTTCAGCCCTCCCGGTACCTACCCCGCGGCCGCCGCCTCCGCCGCCACCACCGCTCCTCGCCCGCCAGCGCGCCGGCCTCAGAGGGAAGGAAAGTGAAAGAGAAACAGCGCCCGCCGCGGCCTGGCCGGTCCCCGCGCCCCGTCCGCCCTCCCCCTGCAGGCGGGAGCGCGCCGGCTCCGCTGGGCCACTCGGCTCGGGCCCGATAGGGCGCGGCGGGCCTCGGGGCCCAGGGCCGGTGCCGCCTCCAAGGGCAACTCCACCCCCTTTCAACCGCCGGGGCCGCCGGCCGGCCACGCCCCCGGCCACGCCCCCAGCGCCACGCCCGCAGGCCACGCCCGCCTACCCGCACTCATCGCAGGTGCTTTGGCCTCTCCGCTCGCCTTGCTGCCGTGGCTTCAGTACGACACGTGGCCTTGGCCAAATTTTATCTCGGTTCTTCTCCTCACCACCCCTCCCGGTTGTTTTCATCATAACAATGTCTGGTACATTTTCCCTGGTGGGTTTAAAAGCAATGGCCAGTGTTGATAATGAGTCACCCTGCGAAAGTGTCTACTCAGCTGCGTCTTCCCCAAGCCAGTCCCACCTGCGCGCAGCGGGGACGAAGACATTCCTTGATTTGCACCTTATGCAAAAATCACTAACGAACTTGCTACTGTGGGGTGGGGGTTGTTGACGACCGTAAGCAAGCAGGAGCGTTGTGGCGGGGAGTGGGGGGTTGGTGGGTGGGAGTATCAGTAGAAAGGTAAAGAGTTACTACTATTTGCAAGGTTAAAAACAAACACCCCAGTTCTCTTTCTAGTGGCTTTGAGATCTACAAGAGACCATTCACTGCTAAAGATTTATTCAAAGGCATGCATTAAAGGATTCCTTAACGTCATTCAATCCTATTCTACTGCATTCCAAAAACTTACAAATTTCTACCACAACCTCTATTTTGCTAAACATTAAATTAGACCTGGTTCTTTGCTTCTTAGAAGACTGCAATCAAGTAATCCTAGGGTGGCAGGCAAATCAGTGTGGTCTCCACCAGTAAAACAAAAGTTAAAACAAACATCCCAAAGGGAATCAGTAAAGGGTGGTTTCAATTTATGTATTAGAGGAAAAGGTGTTGTAATTACATAATTCTGCTTCTGTAGAAGTGAGAGTGGTGGGGGCTGGGGAACTGACAGTACTGGGGTTGGGGTGGAGGATTAATGCAAAGTATTTGTTTTATCTCCTATTGAAAGTAGTCACTATCCTTATTATCAGAGGGATAGATTGTGGAGATGGTTCTAGTGGTAAACCAACAAACCCAACAACCATTGGTCCAGCAACCAAACAGGTGTTCCAAGATCTATTTCGAATTTGAATACATCAAAAGAGTAGAGAAAGACATCTTTTAAAAAAAATATCTAATTTACAGTTAATCTTATGTAGAGGGAACATAACATTTAAAAAATACCATTGCTAATATCACAGCAGGAGCAATACATTTTCTCAAACAGCTTTCAAGGACCACATTTTTATAGTCCTTATAAGAACCATTTTGCAAAAGCATACATACCAATTTCTAAGCTAGGATCAGCTTCAATAAGTCAAGCACTCACAATGAGCACAGAAAATAAGTTTGGTTAAATGACTTTATAGATGAAGGGTACTTTCAGATCTTTCATCTCAGAGAAAAAACAGATCAATATGTGAAAAGTCACCCTGTTTCAAGCAATGGAATACACTTCTGTATATACTATTATAAATTGGTATTTTCCTATTTTGCATCTGAACCCATTTAAAATGTATTTTTAAAGAATAACACTTAACAGAGGTCGGGGGGGGGCTTAAATGTGATTGGTGATTGATAGTAAGTGGGATTAATCAGCATTCCTGAGGAAATGAGCTCGAGGATGGATATTAGGAAGGCTTTCCTTAGAAATGGAAGGAGTGAGGAATATCCTAGAGTAGGACCTGAAGACAGGTGTAGAGGGCGCATTGCCATAACCCAGACTGCAGACAGTGGACTTAGGGGTGGGAGAGAGAAACACAGCCTTTGTAAGGAAATCTGTGCCTAATGTCCCTGAAGGATCTGTAGTAAAATGTTCAGTGGTTTCTCCTTTTCCCTCTTCAGCAACCACACCACCTGGGAATGCTTTCCAGTAACTCACTTCTCAGTCCTCTGGTTCTGGTGGTGGGGCTGGAACAAACCATAGAAGCCTCAATGTGAGAGGGCAGCTCTGATAACAAATCTCAAGTACCAGTGGGGCCCTCAAATAAACAAAGGCCTGGAAGCAATTGGATATGCAGGACTGGGGGAGGGGAGGCAGATAAAAGAATCATAGCTGGGATTCCCCTTATCATGAATCTACTTCAGCCTTCTCATTTTACAAATGTAGAAACCAAGATCCTGAAAAGTGGCAAGTTCATAATCACAGACCTGCTTTTGGTAAAACCAAGACCAAAACAAAGGTACCAGTTCCATATCATTTACATTTCTCAAGGGAACTTCTTAAGTCCAGGATTTCAAGGGAAGTTGGGTAAGAAACATGTTAACTTGAAAGAAAATAAGGAACAAAGGGAGAGAAGAATGGGTGAAGGGAGAGAGGCAAATAACTGTCTATATGGTATCAGGGAGGGAGCTGCCACTGGTGAATTCCTACCAAAGAAGCCTAATCCCAAAGCAGTAACTTGTTTCATTCGATCCTTGATCCAGACTCTTCCAGGGAACCACAAGTGGCTCTTGATAACTCTTGCAACTACTTGGATCTACCCGTATACCTAACAAACATTTTCATTACTTATATTTTATGTCTAGATTTTTATTTCAGTTAAGGCTGGGTAGGGATAATTCTATACTGAAAAGTCTGCATTCTGTCTTTGGCTAATATATTATCAATGAACTGATGTTTAATAGCATAATGTATAAAAATGGGGTTAGAACTTTACATTTCCCCTGGGATATTACATGAGATGGCTTTTTCATTTTTGTAAATTATTTTATGTACCTCAGTATGCTAGTTAATGTTTTTATATAGAATATCTCTAACATAAAATTATCTTCTATAAAAGTCTTCTTACAGAGATTTTAGAAAATAGTAAAATTTAAAGCATCCCCCTGGGCCCAAATGTATTTATTTTATAGCCACGGATATGACAGCTCAAAATCTATGACTACCTAAAATCAGTGATGGAGGTATGAGAAGGGAACAGAACCAAAGGTCCTCCAATCACCCTCAGCCACGTCTCTTTTTCTTGTAATGCACCTCTCCCCTGTAATCAATAATTCTCAAGGACTCTCTACTAAATTTCTCTTGAATCCTTCCACTTAACCTGCCCAGGTTGAGATTACTATTATCTCTACTCTCCATTACGTCAATGAATTCTTAGCTATGGCTCTTATCTGTACAACCATTCCCCATAGCACAACCAGAGGACTCTCTAACTACAAATTGGATCATGCTGTTCCCCAGCTTAAAAACCCCTGCTCTTAGGTTGATGCTCAAACACTTAATAAGCCCTTTCCAGATCCCCATCACGTCTATAGTCTTTCCCCTGAACTCTACGCTGTTGCTCTCATGAACATTTTTACCCTCGAGCTAGAAAGATGGGTCTTCTTTCTTTCAAAAGCTCATCCTGTCCCAACTTCCTTACCCCTCCCACCCTTGCTAAATCTGGTCAACCCTTGTTTGTCCTTCAGTTATCCGACAATATCAAAGGCTACCTTCCCAGACACCTTGATGTTGCTGAAGAGCTTCTTTGATATACATATGCCACATACATACATAACAACTCAACTTACTCTCTCAAGTCCCACATCACACTGTCTTGGATTGACTGGTTAACCTCCTACTAGTGCGTAAGCCCAGGTGACCCATGGCTTCATTGTGCTTCACTAGCAGAACAGATGACAAAATGGTAAAGCATTTAAATAAATACTGGCTGAAAGCTGAATATTTGCACGCACTCTAAGACATATTCTGTGTATTCTTTGTCTGGCTTCTTCTTGGAGGGATCTTTCCAAAGATATGTTAGGCATAACCCCTGCAATCTAGGACTATAATTAAAATCACAACAGGAAATAGAGACTTATCCACAGGAAACAATTATAGAGCAATACACCAAATTTATTAATAAAGTATTAAATGACAAAAACTCCAGCTGAAGGAAGGAGTGCTACTTGTGGTCAAAAAATTGGCCCTACATGCTCAAGACTCTGCCAGTAATAAAGACTGCAAGGGAAAATACTAAAAGATATGGATATGAAAAATAAATGGGAATGTCAGAAAAAAAGAGAAATTAAGTCAATATACCTAAAAGGAAGTACAGATAAATAGCGTTAGGTAGAGGGACAAGATTAGTCTATGAAAGACTGTGCAACTAGCTAAATAAATATTTTAAAGTGCCTTAAGTACATTATGCTAAAAAGACTAACAAAACTTGTTTTCCCCCCCTCTTATGAGAGGCAGAAAAAACTAGCTGTATTTTCTTTACTGCAATTTCAACAGTTGGCTGCAGCAAGTTCCATTTATACTGGAAGAACAGAGAATGTAACTAAAATAGGTACAGACTATAAGGAAAAACTGCATTTACTCCCATCACTCCCATCATCAGGGCTGTGGATACTTTAAAACATCATGACAAAACCACAACTGTTATTTTGGGAGGTCAGATTAAATCCTTCAGGATGTCCAGTGGACAAATGACTGACATGCAGAAACTAAGAATATTCCATCAAATCTGAATGTAAATGATTCTAAGTTAGGAGTGATTATAGAAAAGTTAGGGAAAAAAGACCTACCAAAAAAAGATATGAAATTCAAATGGGGCAAATGCAATATAAAAATTTAGTGACATAAACATTCAAATACCAGAGGAGACTAGGCACATGATTTGAAAAAGTCCTCATTTTATAGGTAGCTGTGGTTTAGAGGAAGGGACACTGGACCTAGGAAGAGAACCTGGTTTTTATTCAGGGCAAGTCACTTAAGCTCCCTTGGCTTCATTTTCTTCTTATGAAAACTGAGATTAATGTTACCTTAATCACTAGACTTTTCTTTCTATATTTGTGTGTTATTATAATGAGCATATAAGAAGATTAAATGAGATGATAAGTGTTTTTTAAATTATCAGCTGTAAAGGACTGTAAAAATATAAGGTTTAAGTGTCAATCCTGCAGACCCCAGCAGTCGAATAGTACCTGGTAATCCTGTACCACCCAGCAGAGGTCCTGGATGCTGAGAGAATTTACAGGATGAATGAGACACTCCAGGCAAGGCCATGAATCTAGGACACAGCATAAAGTAAGGCATGCAATGGTCACCAAGTATTCCTTTCTCTGGACTCAATATTTATCACACCCAATTTTTAAAAAGATGGGAAAACCTAAGTATTTCATACTAAGCAATTCAAAGACACACAAAGAAAACTAATTCCCCCCAAATGTGTAATAATCTGGGTTAGTTCAACATTGCAGAAGTGTGTGTTAAATCTTTATTTACTCCCCTCAGATGAAGGGGTAGCAGAAACGTAATGTTTTCCATTAAAATGCAGAATCTCTGGGCATGGTCTCAGTCAAGTCCTCACGAGCCATCTCTGGAGCTAGGGGCTCCTCGCTCACCAGGATTAGTAGACTTCTTAGTCTAAAGGAAGGGAGAGAGGCCAGGGAAGGGCAGGAGGCTTTAGTTATGACTTAACACTTTAGCAGGATATTAACTGTAACACTTTGCTGGCTGGGAGGTCCGGGAACCAGCAGGAGAAAGGAAAGTGTAACTGAAAGAGGAGAAGAGCAAAGCACCAAAGACAACCTTTCTCTTGTACTTCACAATTCTGTCTTGCATCAAAACCAAACCAAACCAAACCAAAACAAAACAAAACAAAAGAAAAAAACACTCTTGAAAACAAAAAGCAAATTAGTGTGTGTTCATACGGTCTTCAACTATTCAGACTTAATGACTACGATACTGATTACTTTGTGTTCAGGTTTGCAGGAAAACTAAGAGAACACAGACCTAAATTAAAGCAGAGCAACATTACTTATGAGGTAGATACTCTTAATTCTTGGCCTTCAGGGTGATAAACCCCACAGAAGTTTCAGAAGCTATGGTAACTTGTCTGTGATAGTTCAAGACAAAAGAAACAATATTTGTCTTCAATGGTTTCTTCATTTCTGTTTGTTGAAAGGGGTTATCCTAGCTGACTGGAAAAGATCCTACCACTTACCAAAACCTCCTAATAGCTTCTTGATAAGAAGCTGAAAAAAGCACTAGCATCCAAGTGCCTTAGAACACATGATGAAGGAGAATACAAAATGGTTCACAGAAAGTGGTTATAATAATATCATATATATATATATATATATATATATATATATATATATATATAT